GGGCGCGGGAAGAGGGGCTCTGGGACAGGAGTGGACTTGGTTCCCAGGCAGGGCCACGGGAGGGGGGCCCAGATGAAGCGGGCAGCTGGCAGTGGCGGCTGTGGGAAGGCAGCATCTCCAGGCCCCAGGCTGGCATGGGGCCAGCAGCCTCCAGCCAGTCAGAGAGGTGGAGAAGGGGAATCAGGCCTGGGGTGGGGGACGGCCAGCTCAGGGGCAGCGGAGGGGCAGAGGTGGAGGAGGAGGAACCTGCTCCGGGGCTGCCCCAGCCCCATCCCTGCTGCAGAGGAGTCGTGGGGGGCGCAGCCTTGGGACTCCCAGGGCAGGAGGGGAGAGGTGCAGGATGAGTGAGTCTCAGGCTGGGAGGGCGGGGCAGAGGGTGGGACAGGTGACCCATGTGTCAGTTGACACCCTAACAGCATGAGACCCACCGTGGAGCAGGCGGAGGGAAGCGGGTTGCCTGGGGCAGAGCCGTCCTGCCTCAGTCCCTGGGGGAGCCCATGGGCGCGGGGTGCCTGCCGGCCCAGAACGGGAGGCACTGGCTTTGGCCCCCCGGCTTTTCCAGCCAGCTTCTTTCTTGTCTTTGGCTGAGTCCCTGGAATTGACCCCTTAGAGTCAATTTAAATGGGAAACAAGCTTGTGTGTGCAACCCCGTGGGTGGAAAAGCAGGCGGGGCCAGGCTGCCTGCGCCCTGTCCTCCACACCAGCCCCGCGGGGTTGCTGAAGCCCTTCCTAGACTCCCGCTTGGACTCTCTCTTCAAGTCTTGCCGTGCTCTTCCTTGAAGGGCAGAGACGCAGAGGGGCTGAGAGGCGGCGTCTAACCAGGTCTTTTTTTCCTTTTTCTTTTTAGAGAGATTTTTGTTATAGGGCATGTGCGCTCACCAGAGAGACAGAGACAGAGAGACAGAAAGCAAGAAATCACCCCGTAGGGGGATGTCCACACCGAGATCCCTTCTCCATTCTCTTCTCAGGATTTTGGGCATGTATGCACACGTGCCCGGCATGAGTTTAAGCCGCCAGGTGTGGGACTCCAGCTGCTGCTGACTGCGTGGGAGTCCAGCGACGTGAATGGTACGTGATTGCTGGCCCACGACAGGGCCTTCTTTAAAGAAGCTTTTTATTCATGCCTGAGAGCACGTGTGTGTGTGAGAGTGCAAGCGAGTGCCGCTTGTCCGGGCGTCACGCTGTAGTACCCGCCCCCAGCTCCCGTTCTGAGGATAGGCGCCCCTTGCCAGTCCAGCACGAAGTCGATCAGGGCACAGCGAACCCTGGTCAGCAGGGTCAGCCCCGCCTCCGCCCGCCCCGGCCCCTGCCGACCCTCACAGAGCCAGGGTTTTACTGCCATGCTATCACCCGGCCCTGCTCCATGCTTCCCTGCTGCACACGCCTTCTCACTCAGCCACGTTTGCCGAAAGTATGCACATACGCGCACATGTACACATGCACACGCGTGCACACGCATACATGTGTGAGTCCTAGCGGGGGCTCAGAGGCTGCAGAGTGACTTGCTGAGGGAGGGACCCCCCCAGCCGAGGAGGGACTTCAGGTAAGGAGAAGTGGCCTCCGGAAGAGAAGAGGCTAAGACTTTGGGAAGGCTTCCTGGAGGAGGGCTCCTGGTGACCTTGGAGGGAGCAGATGGGGCTGGGGCGGAGGGATTCAGAGCAGTGCTGGTGGGTGGGGCGTCCTTCAGTGTTAGGGAGCTTCTCACCGGGTACAGCCAGAGTCTGCCCCTGGTGGCTCCCTCGGGGACAGACACTGCCTGCTGCCTGGGGACAGGCCTTGGCCTCCACTGCCACTGCCTATGGCCCCATCGCTGGCTGCCATGCTTGGGGCCTCACTTGTGCAGGAAGAGGAGGCCTGGACCGCAGGGAGCCCTGCCCGGCGGGGCCACCCAGGGGCAGGGGCCAGCCTGATGGAGGCACCCTCAGGCTGAAGTTGCAGCTCTCGCAGCTGCCGCCCTGGCCCCACGTCCTGCCACCCCTGGGCACTACGCCCGTCCACGTACTGACGGGCTTTGACCTCTGGGCCCTCTCAGCCACACATCCGACTTCCTCGCTTCTGCACATGGTTTATTCTGGTCGCCCCACACTCACACAAGCAGGGAGCTGGGGCAGAGCAGCCCGTGTCCCTGTCACCCAGGCCTCCCGCCACACCTGCTCCTCTGGAGCGCCACCCCCATTGGAGTCTTCCAGGCAGACCCCGGACCCCCACATCTCAGCCACAGCTCCTCAGTGTGCGTTTCTGGCTGGTGAGCCTTTGTGAGGGTCCACCCAGAGCACCCCCACCTCCTCACCCCGTCGGTCCCCGCTGTCAGCCCTCGCCCCCTTAGAGGTCTTTCCCAGGTGGCTCTGTGCACTCAGGTCTGAACTAGGCCCGTGCCTGCTGACCTCCGCTCTGGCTGTGTCGTGTTCACGCCTGTGGTCGGCAGAGGTCTCCATGCTGGGGTCTGCAGAGGCACGGTGGCCTCTCCTGGGCTGAGGCTGGGGGACAGCCAGCTAACTGGCCAGCGATGCCTGGGAGACGGGGAAGAGGAGGACCAGTAGGAGCTGGTGACAGGACGTCAAGGGACACCAGAGCCAGGGAGAGTCTCCTGAGTGGCTGGCCCAGGCAGGGAAGGAGTAGGTGGAGGCAGGAGATGTGGGGGGCTGTGGAGGGGCTGGTCTGAGTGCCGCGGGGCCTCGAGGCAGCCTTGGCCGGCAAGGCGGAGGAGGCAGTTTCTCAGGAGGCAGGGGATGGAGGAAGGCCAGGGGCGGAGGAGCGGCTGCTGTGCCAGGTGGGAGGAGGGCGCAGAGCAAGGTCCATCTCTTCTGCTGGCGTCCCTGTGCCCCAAGCCCCTCCCCTCTGAGGCAGTGGCAGTAGAGGGCAGGGCCCCATGGCTGGACCAGAGGGAGGAGAAGAGGTTTCCTGGCAGGATGGCCACGTGCAGACCTGGGTCTCAGGGAGGGAACAGAAAGTGCTGACGAGCCGTCGGGAGCCCGTGAGAACAGAGGCGTGGGTTCTAGTCGGCCTCGGCAGCCTGGGCCCGGGAGGGCACAGAGCACCCGGTCAGCCCTGGCCTCACTGCTGGGCAGAGCCTCCCCAGGGTGGGACGGAACAGGGGCTAATGGAGCGTTCACCCGATCAGGGCAGGTGTGAATGGCAGGGTGGGTGTGGGCAGTCAGGGCAAAGGCGTCTGCACGGGCCTGGGGTGCACAGATTCCAGGGCCCCAGCCCTCTCTGCAAGTGGCCACAGGGGCCTGGGCCCGATCACAGGGTTCCTTGGCCTGGGTGTCTGTGTGACTGAGTCCCCGAGGTCTGAGGTCTGAGCCCCGTGACCCTCCTCAGGACAAGGCAGGACAGAGGCCTGTGGAGTTGAGGGGTCCCGGGCAGTACTCCCACCCCATCATGCTGTGCCTGGCAGGGGAACCTCAGACTGCCCGGCAGAGGACAGCGTGGGCACAGGGAGGCCTGGGGGCCAGGTGCCCACCCACCTTGGTTTAAGCGGGGCCACTAATTTGGGCCAAGAACTGTGCTCCCCTCGGGGGTGAGCCGCTGCGCTGTCCCCGCCAGGCGGCCTTGACACTTATGTGACCCTGTCGCTGCCAGACAGGGAACGTGGCAGAGCAGGTGAGTGGTCCCACAGCAGGGATCGGAGTGCAGAAGGGGCCTTTTTTTTTTTTAAAGCTTTTTAGTATCTGCTGTCAGGTGCGTGCACTTGGTAGAGACAAGGGGAGAGGAAAAATGAGAAAGCACCCCGATTGGATGATCACCCCACAGTCCCTTCTCCCGGGAACTTGGGCACGTAGCTGTGCCTGGCTTGTTTTCTGGGCCACTGGGGCTGGTCTCGTGCTGCGCAGTCGGCAGTGTGGGACCCAAGGGCCTTACCCACCGTGCCCCTGGCTGGCCCGGGGGCCTTCTAATTGCTGGGAAGTTCTGTGACAAATTGGTGGGAAGGTGCGGCTGTGGGCTGGAAGGCTGAGAGCCCAGGACAGACGGGAAAATGGAGAGCTGCAGCAGGCCGCAAGAGCCGGAGCAGGCAGACGGGGCAGGGCCCGCCTCCAGGGTGGGGCACAGGCTCCAGGCAGGGAGGGCTGGGAGCCCCTTCCCAGGGCTGGGCTGTGAGGGCTCCCCCAGGGCTGTCTGCCCTCCGTGTGTAATGCCACCAGGGAGGCTGGACCAGGGTCCTCTGTGGGGGGGTGGAGCTGGGGGGCCTGTTCCCTCTGGACCCCACCAGAGGTGGAGAAAACATGACCGGAAACACCCCGCCCTGCAGGTGAGCTTGAGGCTGAGGTGGCCAGTAGGGATGAGACTACTGCTGAGCCCAGAGGGCAGACCCGAGGGCCAGAGTGGGGAGGCTGGGGAGCAGGGTAGTGAGATAGGCCGAGCACCCCACTGGAAGGAAGGGCCGGGAGTGGACCTGGGTCTGAGGGGCCAGACAGAGGAGAAGGGCCAAGGCCAAGCCAGGGCTTCCTTGGGTCGCTCGGGGCAGAGAGTCCCACTCTGAGCCGGAGGCGTGGGTGCTGGTCTTCCCAGCAGTGACCCCGAGCCAGCTCTCCTCCGACTCAGTTCACACCTCTCTCTATAGGATGGGAAGGGCTAGGTGAGGTTCCCAGGCTCCGCATAGTCTCTGAGACACCGTGGCCACAGGTTAGCAAAAAGGCCCATGCCCTCAGGGTGGGGCACAGGAAGGGCAGTACAGCCTGGGCGGCTCGCCCCACTGGGAGCTTAAGCAGACGCTGCCCAGGGGATGCCCCAAGAGCCTGCAGGGTATGCGTTGGGGGCGTCCTAGGCCAGGCCCCGGAAGGTCTGAGAAGGAGCAGGGCGGAGCGCAGCAAGGAGGGCCCGTCTGGTCTCCCACCTGCGGGCACGTGTGGCGACCTGCCAGGACGGGCTTGGTGTGTGTGACGGAGCCCGCAGAGCCTGCCTGCCGAGTCAGCCGGGAGCAGGGGAGGCGCCCACTTGAGGCGGCCAGGGAGGGGTGAGACCGCAGTCACTGGGGTGGTGGGGGTGGGGGTAGCCCTGGGAAGGCTGGCCTCACTTTCCAGAGATGACAGGGCGGAGGCAGCTAGGGACAGGAAACAGGGAGCCTCACTTTTGCTCTCGGGCTGGTTCTCTGCGGTACTTGCCCCTACTTCTTCCCCAGAAATTCCCCGCCCCTGGCTGGGTTGATGCTGCTGCAGCCCCGACCCCGGCCCTGGAGTCGTCATCCTGCCTGCACGCCTTACCCGGCAGTCCAGGCCGTTCCCTGCCGGCTCAGAGGTGCTGGCGGCTCAGCGTGGGGCTGAGGACACCACAGGTCAGCGCCATCCCCCTGGGGCTCTGCCTGTGATGGGGGTCCTGGGCAGGAGGGAGTGATGGGCTCAGAGCAAGACCTTGCTATGCTGAGGTTTCTCAGAGCCCAGGGGACGCTGTAATGGTGTCTGAGAGCGGGGTGTGGCTCTGGGGGGGCTCAGCGAGGGGAGGCTGTGATGGGGCTCAGCGTGGGGAGGCCGTGGTGGGGCTCAGCGAGGGGAGGCC